CCAGTCTTGTGCACCTTGGGTAACCCGTAAAGGCGCGGAATGGTTGACCCGGACGGCTTTATTGAGTCGAACACTGATTGGTCTATATAGCCTTGGTCCTTTAAGGATTTGAGGCTATTCACGATTTGTTTCTCTGTCTGTGTCGTTTTATCTTTCTCTTGAGGCCCGCTATCAAATGTGTCCCCACTAACAACAAACCCTTATATGATCTGTACAGGCACGATTATGAATCATTCGAAAACAATTGTTCGCCTTCGGACTTGTGTACTGATCTTAAGAATCATTTGACGGTTATTTGGTAAAATGTTCTTATGTGAATCCAAACATGGAAGATTGCGACCCTTAAGCACCACCATTTGTTTGTCCCTGAACACTGTTAAGAGCTTCCGCTATAAACAGAATTGTTGTTATAATAATAACTTATTGCACATGAATATCGGTTACGTCTATGGCAAACGCAGGCAATCAAGGTATCCTTGATGGCTTCAGTTTTTCCTTGGTAAGTAAAATGATTTACCTTAAATATTCTGTGTATTTTGTTTTGCGTTACGGATTACCTTTGATCGCGAAGTATCATAATGCGAACTTCAAGAAGTGAGGGTAGGGGGTGGTGTTAAACTGCTTTGCTTGTGCTTTGTGTTCCAATGCAGTGCGTGCAATAATGTATCCATACAGCGCGATTTTCCTTTGGATATCAGCAGCCAGTGAGACTTGAAACAGTCTAATGCGATTTTGTTGAAACATATTTTGCCTGTTTTGTGTCCTTAAGAAGGATGCAGTTAACGTAAACAACGTTAGATTGCGAGAATCACAACGATCGCCAATTATTTCAATAAATAGTCATAGGTGGAACTGAAACAGTGGTGCGTTCCAAGGCTTGTCTTCTCCTCACGGATAATTCCCGATCTTTCCTTCGTTATCTTTAATTCAATTTACCAGAACCACTATTATCTGAGGTTGTATGTTTCAGTTTAACTCAAATGGCGTCGCTGTCCACACGATAAAATCAATAATTTAAATAATGCTTTCTGGTTAAAGAAAGGTATCTCGTTTTCACCGCGTTGCTGCACTGTTCCCAGCTAAAGATGCTCTATCAATAAAAGGAGTGTGGTGCTCGAAAACAGTGCAATCTAAGCAAATCAAGCGATTGAAGCTTCTCATTGCACCAAAACGCGGCAGGCCCTTTTGTGTACGTGGTGATCCAAGCCTCAGAGATAAAGCCATCCAAGGGGCTACGCGTTAGAGAAATTGGACATCACACCACAGACAAATATTATCGACCAATATGTAGCTGTTTGACGAAGAGTATACAAACAGGACATTGGTGAGGATCTATTCAACCAGTGACATTTCCTTGTATACATTTAAACCTATTTATTTCTTTCAATAAACTGAACCATCATTTCTGTCGCCTTCTACGTGAGTCTCGTTGACGGGAGATTACGGCATACAATGACCAGTACATTTTCGGGTTTCCTCTGCAATTGTGGTTCGTGTCTACAATGATCACAGCAAGAACAGGCAGAATGCAAGGCACTCGAGCTAATCGTCCGTCGTGGTCTGTTTGACACAAACAAACAACGGTAATGAGATGGAAATGTTTGTGAGCACTGGAGAGCTGTTTCGTCCTGTTTAAGACTCTTCAGTAGTGCGTACGTTTTGTGTCCCTGTCAAGACTCGAACCGCGAAAATTTGGGTTGGGGCTTCAAACCTGTACCCCTTTCTAAAGTACACGTATACATAGAATCCGTTTTTCACTCTACACTGAAGATCGGATCGGCGCACCGGCGGCATAAAATTATCCTGTTTGAAGTTATCAAATCCGGTTCACTTACTTGGGTCACATCAGCTTTGTCCAACTTCTTCAACAATCGGTCCACACGTCGTTCTGGTAGGTTGGCTCTGGCCCGACGTGTGATGAAGCTACTGATCAATTTCGGTACGCAGACATCAAAATCACACTGATTTGAATGATCCGTCAAGTACTGAATAACGGACGGAGGAGGAGTGGTGGGGGGGGGGAGGGAGTTTAGAGAAGAGCAGAAAACAAAA